GTTCTACATTAAATTTTCGTTACTAAAGCATGCACAGAAAATTGAACTTATATCTATCTTTTTTATACTAAATGTAATTACACCTCAAAATCGGAAAGAGTTCTTGAGATAAAAAGTTCTTAAAAAGTTCTGAGATATAGTGAAATACACAAAGAGTAAAATTAACATTAAAGGATTCAAACTTTGGACCGTTCTCCTGACCAAACTATTGGGACCATATTTCCCAGATTGCGGCTACACCCTATATTTTAAGGGTCGAAAATCCGAATCTGTCAAAAAAAAGGTATGTTTATTCAAAGCAAGTACGTTTTTGTGTCGGGTTTCGTATCTTAAAATATCGTCCACACTTATTAATTAGCATATTTGAGGTCACTCCCTCGAACCATTAACATCGAGTCCTAGAACGCGAAAATCCTAAAATTAGATCAAAAGTTATTCAGAGTGGTCCATTTTTTATTTTGCACAATGTATATATCAAAAGCATATCTCCTTCAAGCTTATTGCTTGTATTCTAAATCGATTTATAGAAATAAAATTCTATTTTTCTGAAATAATTTGATTTAGTCTTCTCTCTCTGTCTCTCAAACTCATAACTTATCCCCTAAATCGATTGTAAAAGTGGAAGCGTTTTTCTGAAATAACCTGATTTAGTAATAACTTATGATATCATTAGCTCGATTGTTCAATATATTGGTAAGTGTAATATTTCGTTTCCTTTCACAAATTATTTATCTTCTAGATCCCCTTTAAAAGTATCATTATTTTTTTTTAAATAATATAATTCTATACTAATTAAAGATATCGATTATATTTCTCAAGGTGGTATAAAACGCAACCAATTTATTTTTAAATCAAGATAAATATAAAAACATATTTTTTGTTCCTGAATCGATTTTTGAAGGTAGAGTACAATTCAAGGAATTTATCAGAGATAAACAAACGCATGGCAACTACAACAATTTCTCTTCGTGTCACGCAATAGTTAGACATGTTTTTCCCCCTCCAGAATTGATTACCCACGAAATAAGGCAACAAAGGCAAAAACTTTGAACATATTGGTTATTTGAAGTAAAAAAAAAATAATTAAAAAAAATAAAAACGAGTGTAGATTGGTAGATTTATTCGTAATTTATTGCCGGTCAAAAACAAACCTCTGAAATCTTTACACTTTATTTTTATAACCGTCGTTGAACAGCCGACACAATTTTTGAACTTACGACTGCTAATGTTCAACTCCACAGCTTTGTAATTTTGAATCCAATCCGGAAGACAAGTGAACTTCTGGACCAAGTATTGGGAGAAATTTACATTCGTGGAGAACTTATTTGATGGAACTAGCAAATATTAGCGTTACATGGTAAAGAAAACCACGAAAACCTCCTATGGTTATCCTGACGGCAAGAAGATTAACTCATGATCCGTCTACCACTGAGGATATTTAATGTCAGTACTGTGGTCGGTGCGAGCAGGGGGTGAGCTCAAATCCCATCCATTTTTGTGATCAAACCCGGGTCACTACGTTGGGAGGCGAGTGCTCTATCCCCTGAGCCACTACGACTCTTAAAACTTTATTTTATTTTATAACCGTCATTGAACAGCCGACCCAAATTTGGGTTTAAGACTGCTAATGTTGAACTCCGTATCCTCGTAATTTTGAGCCCAATCCTGAAAACAAGGGAACGCCTGGATCAAGTATTGGGAGAAATTTGCCTTCGTGAAGGACTTTTTGATGTAACTAACCCACATTTGCTTTACATGGAGAGGAAGACCACGAGAACCTCCCATGGTTAGCCTGACGGCAAGGGGATTCTAACCCATGATCCCGCAGTGGACTGATCGTTAAGACACGGTTCCCAGCAGATCACCGAAGTCAAGCATCACTGGCTGCGGTCAGTGTGCTGGTGGGTGACCACTTGGATCAGTGTGCTTAGGGACCGAGGGTGTGCAGTATTGGTCCTCGTTAAACTGTTCTACCGTAAAGTGCTCGACTTCGCATGCAGGTCGTCGGGCTACCGAAGCGGGGGTGCCATCCCCTCTGCAGAGGATCAAAATTGTGATGGCATGTCTTCGGCTCATTCTCAGGGATGTTTTCCAGACCGTCGCCAATAGCCCATTGTGCAGCTCTAGTGCGACGTAAATGAACAAATCAATCAATCAACCGTCTACCACTGAGGATATTTCACGTCAGTACTATGATCGGCGCAAGCCGGATGCGGAATTCGTAACAACCAGCCATTGCTAGGATTCAAACCCGGTTCACCTCATTGGAAGACAAACACTCCACCCCTAGAGGTACACGGCTCCAACTGTAATAACTACTTAATCTGTATTACGTAAACGCAAAATCTAATGGATATTACTGCTAAAGACCCGATTCTTTATACCATAATTTGATCCGGAATTTTTTACCTGTGTGTACAAAATACGAAAACTCTTTACATGGCTAAATTTTTCATAAGCTCTATCGACAGGATAAGAAGCTTACGTGCAAGTGGAAATAAACTCGTAACCCAAATTTCAGGTGTAGTGAAATGCGTAGACAACGTAGAAAAAATTTAGGTTCAGAATTTGAATATTAATTAACTTCAAGCAAAGAAAAATATTACGCTTTTTTAAACAATGCATTTTAAAAAGTAAAAATAATTAAACATATTTAAATTTTCATCACCCACGTGTTACCCACTTTTAAACGCCGGAAGGATTAGAGAATTCAAACAATGAAACAAAGAGGGCTGACAAAAAGTGATTTATGTAATCGTTGTTTTGTTCATTGTTTAATAACCCTAATGAAAGTATATTTGAGAAATGTCTTTAACAATTTATTCTCCGCCTTCAAGATATATATTTCATCATGTGATAATTCTTCATGATCTAATATATCCTTTTCTGGCGTTTAAAAAAAATCTGCTTTAATATCGATATTCTGTTACACATTGCCATATTCTACTACACTGCCATATTGATAAGCTTCATTTAATTAAATTTTATTATCGTTTAACGAAATATTGTATTCAATAAATGCTGTTTTCGATAATACTCGCAATATCGCATTCGATAATTAGTAATGGCGATTGCACTCGTGATATTATCGCATTCGATAATTAAATTTTTTCGATATTTATTGTGAAACTCGCCTAGCTCTACTGACAACATATTCACAGGGTTGCGATTATAGTAATTTACTGCAGAGCTACTTAGATAAAATTCGACAAAAAGTGCTTCTAACTACCCTTTCCATCGGGCTGACCGTGAGAGGTTTCCGGGGTGATCCTCCCCATGTAACGCAAATGCCGGTTAGTTCCATTAAAAAGTCCTCCTGGTTTGGTTCAATGCTTGATTCAGAAGTTACCTTGTTTTCTGGATTGGGATCAAAATTACAGGGTTACGGAATTGAACCTTCATAATTGTAACTCAGAATTGGATCGACTATTTAACACCAATTTAAAATGCAAATAAATAAATTTAGAAAGAATTTGCGATCTCCAAATTAGGCAAATTTTACAAAACTATTTTCGAAGAATACTAAAACTTCTGAAATACTAAAAAAAAACTTTTTAAAATTAACATTGGTCAACGATGGTTTTAATAATGTACAACTAGTTTGTGGTACAGAAAAGCGATCAGATCCTACAACGAACAGGGTTTAAAAGCGACTGTTAAAAAAACATTTCACTAAATTTGTTAAATAATAAATGTTAAAGTCATTTGGTTTTCCAGATGATCATTGCTTTTCAATGGTACATGAATTATGGGTTTGAGTCCCCTTGCGTCTTACTAACCGTGGGAGGTTTTCGTGGTTTTCCTCTCCATGAAACGCGGTTTGTTCCGTTAAAAAGTCGCTCACAAAGTGAAATTTCTTCCAATACTTCTCCCTTGTCTTCTGGATTGGGTTCAAAATTACAAGGTATATTACGATTCTCAGTCACGACTTGCTCATTCGTGTATCGTGAAGCATTCTCGGTAAGGAAGGTCATAAGTCCCATTATCGTGATAAAAACAAATTGAAATTCCCGAAATTTTCTTTATCGTGTAATGCTAATGTGGGTCAATTTTATTCGTAAATAAATTCAAAAAAGCAGTTCATTTGAATCGTGTTAAAAGTGACAGTGGAAATAAGCTGATGATGATTAAAATAAGAATCACAAGGTGAACATTAACCGTTCAATAACAGGGGAGGAAGAGTTCATTGCACAATATTAGCCAGTCACTAAAAACAGTCATCTAATTGCCACTTTAACTACTATAATCGAGTCTTCCTGTTATTAACTGCCTACTAGTTTGAGATTGTATCGAGTAATGTCAAACTAATTAAGACCAAGTGTTTTCTCATATTGAAGCTTTAACCAATACTTTAATCCAAGCGTAGGCGAATTTCGAATAATTATTGTAATTTAAACGCATAATTGTTAAATTTATAAGTATTTTTAAGAATAGTATCATTGGAAATCGAGTCTTCCAACAAAATTACTTCACGCAATATCAAACTAATTTAGACAAAATGCTTTATACGGAAGCTTTAACCAATTATTTAAGCAAAATTGAAACTAATTTGGGGAATTACACAATTGAAACGTATAATTTTTATGTTTATAAACATTTTCTAAAATGGATACGTAGGTAACTAAGGCCTTCCAACAAAATTGCTCCAAGTAACACCAAACTAATTTAGATCAAATTTTTTATACGGAAGCTTTAACCAATTATTTAAGCAAAATTGAAACTAATTTGGGTAATTACACAATTGAAACGTATAATTTTTATGTTTATAAACATTTTCTAAAATAGATAAGTAGGTAACTAAGGCCTTCCATCAAAATTGCTCTAAACAATATCAAACTAATTAAGGAAAAATATTAAGTCATATTGAAACTTTAACCAATAATTCAAGCAAACTTGAAATGGATTTAGATAATTATATATTTGAAACATTTAACTTTTATATTTATAATTATTTTTCAAGATACATATATAACATGTTTTCGTTTATATGTACTACTTACTTGTGGATGAATCCACTTCCATTTGCTTGGTAGTCTTACTAAGAATTTTGACTCTGCAAAGACCCTTATCTGCTGCATAGCTGATGCCAACCAACAATGGGAAAAAAAGGAATGTGACGACGGCCTCCCATATCTCCACTTCATGAGGCGAAAATCCCACAAGTATAATAAGAAGCCAGATGTAGGCAAAAACGCTGAAGAAAGCTGTCACGCTAAACACCTAAAGTGCAAAAACGTCGATTAAATTAGAAACGTGTTAAAAAGTAACGTTAAAATAAACTTAAGAGGAAGCTAATCAAAGGAATACGCAGAAAAGTTGAGACGCTTTTTAAATATGCAAGCAATAACAATCACCAGAAGCAATTATGGTAGAAATAGACTAACAAAAAAGGGTTAAAAGATTTTGAACAAAAGGCAAGCATAATAAAGGGGGAACGAAAATTTAATATTTAAAGATTCCAGTTTATTATTAAAGATTCAAAAGAACTAAAGAAAATAATATGTGATTGTAAAGTTCCTCCCTACATAAAATAATAAAATCATTAATAGTTTCATTTCCTTTTGCTGAAAGTCTAAAAATAATTTTGCCTTTACTCTATGTGAGTTAGAAGCTTGCCAATGCAAAACCTTCTAAAAACAATGGTTAAACACATTTTGTTGCTGTATGGGCTAATTAGGGAGTGGACAAACCGAAATGTTTCAAGCAGGGTGAATAAATATGGGAAAATAACAACATCATTGTGGACAAAACTACAAACGGACTCAAATGCAAAATAGAAAAATGACATTAAAATGTCGAAACAGCGAACAAGACCAACTCGCTATGCACAAAGAAATGAGAATCACATGAATTTTGAATCTTTGGTTTTAATTAAACTTTATTTCATATGGATTTTTGTTTAATCTTTAATGGCAATAAATGTCAAAAAATAAATAAATAATGATGTCTTGATGAATTACTACTTGATGAATTACACTTTTGTCACATAATATTGATCTTGGCCTGACCCCATGGTCAGCACCTGGTATTTCTATCCAAAATTCCACACCCTGGCTTTTTGAGGTTAATACATTAAATATGGATATTGGTGTCGAATCTTTATAAAGTTTGTTTAAGGCATGAACCCACAACCTTATATAAGTCAAGCTTCAGGCGATTGTCACTTTACAGCTTCATTCCAGATGAGCATATCCGTATGGGTGCAAAATCTTTTTAATGAGTGAAATAAATTCGGTGCGTTTGTGATTTGCTTGATTGCTAACGCGGATAATTTTATCTTCAAAATAAACTAGATTGAAAAAAATAAACTTACACTAAATGTTCGGATTCTTCTACTTTCCCCTGCTGGAAGAGCAACGATACAAACACCACAGATGACGAGCAGATTGAATGCTGCCGACCCTACGATTGTACCAGGACCCAAATCTCCTGCTTTGAATCTGGAAAAATAAAAATATACGTAAATTGAAATAAAAATCAATTTGAAAATCAAAACATTGAAAGATGCCCAACAATTAAAGAAAAAACTAATTACATTATCGTAACTTTTAAATCACAATTATGCAAATTCAAAATCAATACGGGATAATATGAGACAAAAATTGAAACTTCCACTTCTTAAAACGGTGAATCTGGGCCAAAATAAAACAATCATCTATGTTTTTTGTTTTATCCATACATTATATTAATGTATTAAAATAACAAAATCCTAATCATAAAATTTGCTTAAGAAAATAAAATCTCTATCTCACACTAAGCTTCAACGAATGTGGTAAATCTACGATGTCAAAGCATTGAAAAATTGAGAAGCATGTCTCTAATATGCCGGAATATTGCTTTAACTGCAAACGATGAATTTTAGAATGCTGTACTTAACTACGGTTGTTTTAACTACCATTACAGTTGATTTAATATAACTACAGTTGTTTTAACTGCAATTCATGCATTTTAGAATGCTGCATTTAACTTTAGTTATTTTAACAGCCACTACAGGTGATTTAACAGCCAATGCAGTTGATTTAACATTACTACAGCTGTTTTAACTGCAATCCATGTATTTTAAAAACGTTTCACTAGCATATCAAAATACTCATAAAAATTCAGTATAATAAACGTTTCCTATATTAATCTTTTAATTAATAGAATCAAAATTATCTTACGCACTTAAACTATACTTTGATGAGGTCTGAAAATTAAACGTATAATAGTGTACTTTTCTATCAAAAATTATTTTTCCAATTAAAAATAATAATAAAAATAAAAAGCAATTATTCTCGAAATTATTGTCGCATCCAGAATACTAAAATAAAATTTTTCTTTTAAATAAGAATTCAAATGAATGCGATTTTTGAGAAGCTCAGAGTAACTTCAATTTTAAGATATCTTTTTTCTTTTCCTCTTTTTTTTCCCCCCTCCATTTTTTCTTGGATTTAAGTGGGATCAATTGAAGTTAATAGTTGAGATTATCCCTGTCCTTTGAGATTTGTTTAATCTGTATCAAGTAAAAAAAATTTTTAATTCGTTTATTTTAGCTACTTTTATCTGCTTATAAGAAAATATATGATGTTAAGATCTTCTAAAATATAAAAAAAAAAACTTAAGACCTGGTCTCATAATAAGATGTCATTAAATGTCCAACTATTTATACGTTTCAATTAAAGTACTAAATCTTCAAAAATTTCAATTATTACAAATTCTAGAAACCAGATATTTTTGAGACATTAAAAATTTAAAACCTTTGATTAAAAAATGTGTGTAGGCCATGAAATATATATCGGCAAGTTTTATTGCCAGTTCTCAATATCTTAAGCAAACTAATTAGTTCACAATATCTTATAGATATCTAATTTTAATTTCCTTGTAGATATCTAATTTTAAATATGGTTTCCCTACCAAATATTTGAATATTTCTTTTCGATAGTCTGTTAAATTAAGGTCTGAATTAATAATTTTAAGTACTTTTTTATGCATTAGATTTATGTTTGCATGGGTTTTTATAGAAAGTTCATATTTTCAATAAGCATTATCTTGAAAATTGCAATTTCTTATTTTTCAAAATCTTGCCTTAAGGAAGAATTTTTATTTATTTATTGATTTTTAGAATATTGGAATAGGCAGAATAACGCACTTTATTGTTTTTTCATTTCTTTTTTTTCTATTTAAAAAGCGATGTTTGTTTTAAAATGAATCTACTCTATTTCAATTATGTTATTGCCATTTTTTTTAACAAATTGTGTAGTTTTTCTTTTAAAAAAAACATATTGATGGTTTAATTTTCAATATCTTAAAGCAAAATTGATTATTTTCCTTATTTGAATTTTAAACTTCTCAATAACTCTTTTTTATTATTTCATTAACTTCAAGAGTTAATGAAAGGCTGATTAATGAAAGTTAATGAAAGACTAAAAAGACTGATTCAGAAAAAAAGGCCAAGATTTTCATAGAATGATATAAAAAGCCATTGATAATAAATTTTAAAAGTCCAAATAATTAAACTATTTTCATCTTTTTTTTATTAACAATAGAGATCCCTAGCAAATATTCATTTTCCGTAAAAGATATTTTTCATATCAGATAATAATTTTAAAAATGAATTGCCAAATTACACTTTTCCAAACGCATAACAAAGAACTAAATTAACAATTACTAATTTTGAGTTTAAAAAAGGAAGTATAAGAACATATATTGTATGATGTATCAAACCGCCATCATTCTTTTCCAAAGTACGTGACAATAGAGATTTGTTGATCATATTGGCGTAGGTTTTGTGATAAAGAAATACCCAAACTCTCCCAAATATTTCACCATAATTCAGATAAGAATCTTCTTTGCCTCGAAGGCTCAAAATGCCCACGCGCTCACACGATTATTGTCGTTCCACAACTTGGCGCAAACTTTCGCTTTTTAGAATCGGATGGACCGGATATTTTGGCCATTTTACGCTCAAATGGTGGAGAACATTAGAGAACTAAAATGTGGCCAAGTCAAAGGCAAAATAAGAGGACATTTACCTATAGGGATCAGTGTTCTTCGAAATAAAAGCATGGAATAATGTTTAAAAGACATTTTTGACTGTTGTCAAAGTTAGAAAAATCATTATTTTACTTACGCGAGTGGGTATAGCAATTGACGAATAGAGCTTGGAGTCATATTACAGCAAAGGTAATGTGTCAAAAGCAATCCGTTTTGGTGATTAAATGCTTATTACGTCAGAAACAACATGGTTCAGTAATTAAATGTTTACTGCGTCGGAAATAATTCAATATAGTAACCTGCAAGGATCAGTATTTTATTTTATAACCGTCGTTGAACAGCCGACCTAATTTTTGGGTTTACGTCTAATGTTCAACTACGTAGTCTTGTAATTTTGAACCCAATCCAGAAGACAAGGGAACTCCTGGATCATGTATTCGGAGGAATTTTGATTTCGTGGAGGACTTTTTGATGGAGCTAACCCGCATTTGCGTTACATGGAGAGGAAGACCACGAGAACCTCCCAAGGTTTACCCTGACGGCAAGGGGACTCTAACTGTGGTCGGTGCAAGCCGGATGCGGAATTCGTATCAACTAGGATTCGAACCCGGTTCACCTCATTGGAAGGCAAACGCTCTATCCCATGAGTCATCGCGGCTGAGCAATCAGTATTCTTCAAAATAAAAACATGGAATATGATTTAAAAGGCACTTTTTGAATGTTGTCACAAAGTTAGATAAGCCATTGTTTTTCTTACTCAGAGTGATTGCTGCAATTGAAGAATAATATTTGGAGTCATATTACACCAAAAGGTAATGCGTCAAAAACAAGTCATTTCGGTAATCAAATATTTACTGTGTAAAAATAAATAGAGTGTTTTAGTAACCAAGCATTTACCACGTTTTAGTTGTTAAATGTTTGCTACGACAAAAACAACTCAATATGGCAAATGTTTAATGCGTTAAAAATAACTCAAAGTAAATCTTTACCGAGTCAAAAACAACGCAAGTTGGTCTTATAGTCAAAATGCGTCTTATAGTCAAAATGTGTCTTATAGTCAAAATGTGTCTTATAGTCAAAATGTGTCTTATAGTCAAATTATGTCTTATAGTCAAAATGTGTCCCTTGTCAAGTAATCCAATTTAGTAGTAAAACATTTACAATCGGGAATTATGGTTTTTGCGTTAAAGAAAGAACCCAATTAAGTAGTCAAATGCATTCTGCATTGAAAACGACCTCTTTTTTACTTTTCTAAACTCAAATTAATATTACTTTTCAGAAAAAATAAGTTCAAAGTTCAACAAACTAATCTTACCCATTTCCGACAATTTCAATAATGGACAGCAGTATCTCAGGTGCACTGGAGCCTAGAGCCATGAGAGTCAAATTGGCAACTGTGTCATTCCAAACTTTGACTTCAATCACTTCTGGCTCTGTCTCATCAGAGGTGGAAAGCATGATCTTACGGGTTTTGCTAGTGATTTTTTCGATGGAACACATGAATATGTCTGCAATGATGGCCACCCCTAGAAAGCAGTAGAGAAGGCCCAGAAGGTAGATGAAGGCTCTGACCCCCGGGTTCCATGTGGACTCATTAATGATGGGGAGGAGTAGGCCCTCACTGCACCTGTAGTCGAAAGTATGGTTGTGGTGACTATACATCATTTCCATGATTCAGCCTGCGGGAAAATAAAATAAATCCAAATTTAGATGACATATATATGTTACAGCTAAAGTTATAAATCCGGTTATTATTAATACTAACCGGTCACTATTAATAATAACCGCTTCTTTTGTTCAAAGTGAGAAATACCGGTTATTATTAATAATAACCAATGAAGTTTGGTCAATGTGACTAAACGGTTTCGATAGCATTGGGACATGGATGTACCTCTTTGCATATGTGTTACGGTTAAAGTGATAAATCCGGTTATTATTATTATTATAACCAATGAAATTTGATCAATATGGTTAAACGGCTTCAATAGCATTGGAACATGGGTGTGCCTCTTTGTATATGAGTCACGGTCAACGTGATAAATCCTGTTATTATTAATACTAACCGGTCGAAATTAATAATAACCACTTCTTTTGGTCACAGTGAGAAATAAAAAGGGGACATTTTCGTATCGTGACCTGTGACAGAATAATCGCCAAGTCTTGGAATTTCCGGGCAGCGAGAAACTAAAAAAATTAAAAAAACAATCACAGAAAGGGACCAAATCGAAGCGTATAACCCAGGGCAAACATCTATAGTCCGTTTACCAGGAGTTGGCAATTGACTCCGCCTTCATCACGTGATACCCGACGATACTATTTCGCTATTTTTGAGAGAAGGATGTGAACAATCCTGAACAAGGTTGCTATTTGGCGATCGTATGTCAAAAATATTTATTTTGCAATTTTTATGTGCATTTTTCAACATTAAATATTTCATAAATTTAATGACATTTCTTTCTTTCGAGTGAATAGTATGTCCTTTTTGAGACATTTTGCTGCAATATATTTAATTAGATAGAGTAACGAAAGATATAATAGCAGATGATAAAGCGAAGTCAGTGACTGAAAAAGAATTCACTATTCACGTTTGGCGAGCAGTAAGGTTTGTCTCAATTACTCAATTTCAAGAGCGGGGACGTTTCTCTCTATACTCCCCGTCCTTAAATGAACTCTTCGCGTCCAAAGAGGTGGAGCCAAGTGCCAACTCCTGATGAACGAACTATACAAGTATTGATTTAATTTTTCCTGTTTAAAATCAATTTGGCGATTGTAGTTGACGTGGCAGATCACGATACGGAAATATCCCTAATGAAAATGCGAAAGAATGACATTAACCAAACTTCATTGGTTGTTATTAATAATAACCGGTTCATGTGATAAATTCGCTTAAATTATTCACTTTAACCGGTTTATTTGGTTTTTATTAATATTGACTGGTTAGTATTAATAATAACCGAATATTCACATTGACCGTTAGACAAACATAAGTAGACTTATAATGTGAAAAGTGCAAAATTATTAACAGCTTTAGAGCAAGTTAACAGTTTAACACAATTTGTGAATTTTATCAAAATTTCGCAATATTAGCACAACTTTACAATATAAGCACAATTTAGCAGTTTTAATTCAAAGGTTTGTACTTTTCGATTGAAAATCAAGGTTGCTTTGTACTAACTGCGTACTGATTTTACATACGTGAGAATACGAATTCTCTTTACCGAGAGAGGTAAGGATACGCGGTTAGCGATTTCTAAATGTTAGTGATAAACTATATAAATAAAATACAAATATATTTAGCACAAATTTTGAAACGTTGTAAATCTATTCCGATGGTAGTTTTTCTTTTTAATATAGCTGGTTAAAATATTTTATACTATTACATATTTCTATTGAATAATTTAAATGTTTTTAGTAAACTATAAAGGGAGAAAATGATATATATTTATATTTATTCCAGAAGTTCGAATTTTCCCTACATAATTTAAGAATAGCAACAAAAAAAAATGGTCGGCAAGAAGTTCCTTTATATTCTGCGACTTACAAGGAAATTTTTTCTAATATCTCTATCGCATAAAATTAGTTAATTTAATTAACCGTAAAGGTAAACTAAGCAAACAAATTGATTTCGATAATCTGATAAAAAATAAATCAATAACATTACCAAAATCTATTCTATTTTATGAAGAATACTGTTTTTAAGCTTTTAATGCAAAACTTACAATAAAAACTAAGCAATTATTTTTGTACGCAAATAGCTTGCAAATGATAAGCTATCATCTTCGAAAAACGTACGTATTACAGCGTCGTTTAAAAACTGTAAAATGTCACGGCTACTTTTTAATGCATCGTTTATCATAGGATGTTAAAAAAAAAATTATGTAAGGAAAATAACGATTACAGGCCTGAATTTTAATAGTTAATCCAAAAATTCGTACTTTTCCCTAAGCTGTAAAAAACAAAATGGATGAAACTGCATTCCTATTAAGGGCTATTTTTTCTAGGATTTCATTCACTTATAAAATAGCTAATTTAACTAACCGTTAAGGTAAACAAAGCCATCGACACAAATTTTGTATGCAATACGCAAATTCAGCCTTAAAAAATAACATTTGAAATAGAAATAAAGTAATTATTTTTGTTTGCAAATGGATTTTCAAAGGAAAAGCTATTATCTTTGTAACACAAAAAAAAAAAAACAGTTACATACCATCGTTTAAAAATTGTATTTACGTTACCGTTTAAAAATTGTACTATGTTACCGATTAACCCTTTGACGTAGAACTTCTAAACATACTTTTCATTTTTTGCATTAATTTAGGTCAAAATAATATTATGCATAACATTTTATAATTTATGGTTACGAAATAAAGCATTAAGCGCGAGTGTCTTTTTTTTTCTGCGTTAAAGGTGAAATCTTCGGAGCACGGTTCAATTTCAAACAATAATTTTTCAAATTTTGCACTTATTTGTAGTCATTTAGATCTAAGAGATATCGTTACTCATCATTGAAATTTCTTTAAGTTACAAAATCAATTATCGATAAATTTTTGAATAGGAATGAAAGAAAAAAAAATTTCAAACTACTTTTTTTCCGGATTTTATATTTTTGTACAAATTTAATTCCGATAATCCAACACATTTTAATTGGTAACTATTAGACTATAATTTATAATAAAAAAATACCAAAATATGTTTTTGCTTGTAATTAGATCGTCAGAAAAAAAAATACTTAATGGACATCAGTGTTCCATCTGCGCCAAAGAGCTAACAAAGTTCTGTAAGTGATATACTAACGACTACAGCCTGATATTTGATATTTCTTCCAGAAATTCGCACTTTTCCATAGCAGCAAAAAACAAATAGTAAAAATTCCCTTAACACTGGGTTTACGGGACGCGTCATTTTGACGCATTTCGAATTTTATAAGGAAAATTACAAAACCCGTTTGCATTTTTATTTTATCTCTTGTAATGACTTTTATCCATTGATCGAGGTAAATATATATTGAAGTCTATTTTCTTCAAAAGCGTTTAAATAATGAAATTCTCTTTGTGGTATACCTATCTCTACGGATGTGCGTCAATATGACGTAATCGTAATTTAGACAAAAGTTTGAGTAAACATGCAAACATCACATCAATAATAAATAGTAATGTACCAACAATACTTCGATCCGTTATCCGATATCGTTATCTCAAATGAAACAAGCGATAAGCAACTGCTGCCGATAAGCAATAACAGAAAGTACATACGTAGAATTTCAATTGATGTCAGAATGCGAAGAGATTTTGAAGGTTTCAGTTGCTTAGTTCGAATATTGAAAAATAAAATATTGGAACATTTTTTGAATTATTGATATTATTGTGAACCTCAATTTTATACGATTTTGACAAAAAGCCCTTCTTTATCATCTGAATATGTCTAGAAGAGGAAATAAAATTTTACAAAACATAGTCAGTATTTGTGAGGAGTATTCTGGTTCTGAAGAAGATGGAAATAGGCCGGAATAGCAAGGTCGGTAGGGGTCGGTCCGAGAGTTCGTGGGTTCGAACCCCGCCGGCCGAAGACTCCCCGTGTAGTAAAGTGACTGATGCACGTTAAATCTGTCGAGTCGCAAAAGTCCTCCATGTTCCCATAACAAATCAATACCTCTGGGAGTACTGGATTGGAGATCGATCGTTCTCTGATTCAGGTCAAAATTACGATCTGTGGATGAATGAATGGATGTATGAATTTGTCCGCCCTATAAACGGGCTCGACGTATAGTGTGGCAGAAGTCCAATTCTTGGTCATAGATGGCGCCACTGAAAAACAAGAAACGCACACTCTGCCTTAAATTTGCTCGCTTTCACCAAACAGGCTTGCTAGTGCGGCAGGTGGCATTAGAAACAACAACAGCAGATGAAAATGAAGTGATTCAAAACGAGGATGAAGTCGAGATTTTGGAATCGGGTGAAAGTATGCAAGCACTGGAATCATCAGACAGTGAAGTAGGAAACCGTCAGAAATTAGGTCTTTGCAGAAAAAGGATGTGTATCCTATCCGATTCTGAATCTGAGAATGAGACAAGTATTACGAGATTGTCCCAAAATTCGGACGCATTTTGTGATACAGAAATAGCTGTAGATGGAACAACTTGGACGAAATTGAAAGTGGGCGGCTCTAGTGGTCGATATCCTATCCACAAAATCTTCGAAGACATCGTTGGTCCTACTGGCCACGCAAAACGAAATCACCCACCATCTAGTACTTCGGGAGAACGCAAGACTTGCCAAATTGGCTTTTGTAAAAGAAACAAGAGCAATAACACCTGTAAAATATGTGAAAAGGTTGTTTGCGGAAAGTGTACAAACAAAATTGAGTATTTGTGTAAAAGATGCGCGAAATAAATGTATAATATTGAAATACTGTATAATAAAATTATTAAATAATAAAAACTTTCCATAAATATATATCTCATATTTTCATTTTTCTTTTCTTATAGTCTATAATTACATTGCTTTCTAAGTGCTGTTATGTGTATTCGTTCATGCGTCAAATTGACGCGTGTTCGTAGAGATAGGTATATAAGAAACGTCCGTAAACCTGCGTTAAACTTCATAGCTTATAGGAATTTTTGTTGCATATAAATTACTGATCTTCCCTATAGCCTATAAAGATAAAGGGAATATAGTTTCCC